AGCTCGATCCGTCTGGCGTTCGTCCAGGACGAATTTCTAGCGGCGATCCTCCTCACGACTGGTTCATTCATCGATCCCAACCACCCGACTACGACTGGACGGGTGTTTACCTTGCCACGGACTCACGTTCTCGCGATCAATCTCGGTTTTGGAGAATGCTGTTTGTCGAGGGAATCATTTGGGACATGATGGATGTATCGTGCGTGGGCTCGGGGTCTGCGTATACGTTAAATGGGAGAAATAAGAATGAAGAATAGCGAGAACGCTTTGGCGAATGGTGTTGGATTCTGGCTTTAATTTTAGAAATTTTGGAAATTCGAATACTTAGAAATTGGGAATTTGGGGATTTAGAAGTTAGGTTTCTGGAAATTTAGGAACTCGCAACTTGGCGATTCAGAAACTCAAGAATCCGGAAATTCAGGAATTCAGAAATTAGGTTTTCGGAAATTTAGGAATTCGAAATTTAAGAATCCGGAAATCTATAAATTGTCGACACGTACATTTGAAAATTTGGAAGAGAAAAACTGAAAACGGATGAATCTCCGTGACATCATAGTTGAAGCAGAAGCAAAAGCCTCAAGGTTCTCAGTAGCGATCATTTCTCACGGCTGTCCGTAAATCCGCGTCGCGTGGACCGTTACCAGCAGTTCTCCACGTCGAGACGGTCGCTTCTTGTATCGTGGCGCGAAGGTCGGCAGCAGATTGCTTGAACCGGGTGGTTTTGCGGTTGAATCCTCCGGTCAGGGATCCTGTAGTCCGACCCGGAGCACCTATACCTACACTACCAAGACGAAACCGACGACGACTTCTGGATATTTCTTCGAACACAAGTCCCCTTTGTCTTTTTCCTCGTTTTGCATCGGCTAGGTGCCGCCGCGGCTATAAGATCCCATGGATCTGACGTAAGATGGATATCGTATTCCCTATAATGCATAGCCAGCCGTATCGTGAATTCCGTGAAGGAAGAAGGCTCCTTGCGCCTCTTGGAGCTCGCGCACGAACTGTCTTTTGCATAGGTTATCGTGGAAGACCCAGGATGCGGCCCAAGCTTGCCATTCTTTTCGCCCTTGCGAGAGAAACAGCGAACCTTCTTCCACTTGGTCAACCTATCCTCTCTCCTACCTTTTCATACCTTTAATCCACGTGCCTACGTGCTCCACAGCTCTAAATGCGACGAAGCTTCCTCTTCTCGTGGAATCTCAGACACTCGTTCGTAGGAATCTTCCGATTTAATTGGAACCTCACTTGGCTACTGTATCGAGAGGCAAATGACATCCTGTATGCGGTGAAATCTTCTCAAGAAACTGGAATGTGTCTTTGTATCTTGATGACTCGAGATGTTGGAATATTCTTGGTCTCGAAGAGCCTAGAATAGTTTCCGTCGTGTCATTTACTTTCTACGTTATAGTTAGATGGGGAATATTCTTAGCACATGGCCTGCAAGTGTGTACGTGTATTTCTCCGTTGGGCGAATGCTTCAACTGATAAGCATAAGTTATTCGTTAGAGATGTTAATTAGAGAATACGTCAGTTCTGTGTGATCGTTTTGAAATTGGTCGTGTAGTGGATGTTGAATAAGATTCTCGGCGAATGTCAGTGGCATTTGTAGAATTCTTTGGAAGGGAAAGGAATGGCTGTGTGGTTTTTTTTGTTCGGTTCACTTGGTGATGGATTGGGTAGAGAGTTTCGTGAAAGGCGAAGTCTCGAATGGTGGTCAACGATCCGCCCCTGGCTGTGCAGCTGATACTTCCATCTGCCGCGATCTTCTTGCCCTCCCGCGCTTATTCGTCGGCACATTTGTTCGTACTTTGTCGGCACGGTTGTTAGAGCACGAGGTGTTCGATGTATCGACCTCGATCGATGCATTGTTCGGCTTACGGCCATGGTCACGCAACGAGTGCTCGCCGAGGCTTCTTAAATCGGCCTGAACGCTTGCAGCCGCTCTTCTCGCCCGTTTCTAATCGACTTTCGGCTGAAATTTTTCACGACAAATTGGATTATTCGTTAAGTGCTGCATATCGGAACATTTATATTTTATATTTTACGTTAAAATTAATTAACACGAAAGTCGAAATATTGAAATTACGATATTAAAAATAAACCACGTGTAGGAAGAATTGTTTTAACACTCAGAAACGACGTTACAAAGCTAAAACTTTCATCTCTGCTGAACGGACGATCTCTCCCGTGCAGTTTGCTCATAATAATCGAAGGGAGAAGGCGGACCCCTGATTGCGCGGATATCCGTACCGGAAGAACGGTTCGCGTTCACGTCTGAAAGCCAGTCAATTTTCCACGAGGAGAAAGGACGCTCCATTGAACAATTAACGTGCTTTCGTGGATTCGTGCCGGTCGTTGTGGCTTCTGAAACGGTGGATCTCCTCGTGGGAGGCTGATTTACAACATCCAGGAAGCGTGTAAAATTGGACGTCTCTGGTGAACATGCAGAACGTTGTTTTCCTATGAGAGCACGCAGACTCCTTGCAAACGGATTTCCCCGGGAGTTTCTGGTATCGCGATATGCAATTAAGCTTCTTAGAATGAAATCAGCGACTTTGCGATACCGAAAATCTCCAAGTCGACGATAAATCGATATTCGTATGTGAGGTTATTGGAGTTATTTATTCTTTGAGTGCTCCCACAAATTTTCTAACTGTAGCATGATACACTACCGTTATTGTTTAATTATTTCAAGAGATTCTAACATTATTCTCGCGTATTTTGCATATTTCGATGTTTCATAATTCAGTTAAAATTCCCAGTCTAATTATAACACTCTGACTTTAATATCTCCTGTGACTAATAAATTCATCAATCTGCTACGGTATAAATAAAAATCCCAGTAAATAGCTATACATAAAAAAAAAAAGAAGGAAAAATACAAAATTGAATTAAAAACTCGGCCAACACAGACCTCTTCGCAATATCCAATTTATCGAGGAAACAACAATTTTCTCGCGTTACGATCGAGGAGCAACCCTTAATCGCGTTAACGACGCCGGGTAGGAGCTTGTTTAACCCCAACATCAACGTTCTCACGCGTGGTTCTTCCCTGTTCCTTCTCTTTTTCCTCCACCGGTGGTTCGTTCCGAATGGGTGTGCCTACGTCAACAAACGGCCACCTTAGGCCCACACGAAATTTCTCTTCACCCCGGTACCGTTGAAATTTCCTCGGTTAAACATGGGCGAATCGACGCACGTGTCCGACGAAAATTCGGCTGATCGATGCCGCGTACAAAACACGTCGACAGGAAACTAATCGACTGCTTCGCCACAGGGGCGCGGCTCGCAGTATTTTTATTCCATCGCGAAAAAATATCGCGTTCCACCGTGTGCTGTCCCACGAAATTTGCTGTCAACGTTCGTAAAAAAGCGACGCGTTTAATTCGTCCTTTCAATTCTCCTCCGCACGCACACGCGCGCACACACTTTGGTGAACGTAATTCCACGTTGTGCACGAGCATTTTCACGCGTGCCCTGACAGACTGTTATTCTTTTTTCTTCCTCTCCTTTCTGCCGTACCACAAAATTTATCTGTTGTACACGCGGATGAAATTCAACAGACCGAACGTCCACCGGCGAACGAACTGCAATTAAGCGAATTATAAAAGAAGAAAGAAGAGAAAAGAGAGAGAGCCCTTCCCAGCAATCGTGTGCGCATGGAGGTGACAATTACACGATAAATTACGACAATTCCGCTTCCGCAAAACGAAATGGCGGTTGAAAAAGGGGGAGTAGGACGTGTGTGTGTGTGTGTGTGTGTGTAGAGTGTGGCGTGACACGTTGATTTTCACGGGTGAAAGAGGATGTACCGGTGCGACGCGGTGATCGTTTTCGGTGTGAAATTTAATGTAACGGCCGGTTGCTTTCGCTGAAAGAATCAATTATATCCTCTATTGCGTGTCTTTCACTCCGCATCTCGTGGAGCTCGCGCGCCGCGTGATAACGCGTCGCGTGAAATGAAGCTTAATTAAACGAGTTACCGGGATCGTTGGTAATACACAGTGGCGAATTGGCTGCGCGACGATCAAGAGGATAAGTTACGGCAATTTTTCACCAAGTTTCGCCAAATGGAACGAAAATTATCGCGGTATCTCTGACCTAGATTCGTGGATACGGCTTCATTCGCGGATAGCTCATATCCTCTTTTCTGCCAATCGTCGCTCGTTAAGTTGCAAATGAACGATACGAGCGAAGTCGACGGTGCCGAGTGTGTGTACGGTAGCCCGGTGAATTTTGCCACGAAAAGATCGAACCGGTGTGAGAGAAATTGTGTACAAACTGGTCGGTAAATTTGATTAAAGCACCGTGACGCGAGGTAACGAGTTACGGCTAATGGAATCGTCCCGTGGTGATTAATAATTACGAGTAACGACGACACTGGATCAACCTGTGTTTACTTTATTAATGAGTATTATTAAGAGAAGCATGCTGGATTATACTGCCGGATTAGCAGGAATAGAAATTACTTGCAACGTGAAGAAAACAGCGTGGAGGATGAACGCGTGTGTAAAGTACGTTGTGTAAAGTAGAGGTTCCCAAATGGAGGAAACTCCGGAATTATTTCGCGAATTTGGGTAGGCAAAGCCTCTTATCGCTGGGGTGAGTGTGATATGTTCGGGTTCTCTCTTTGTCGAGGGGTTGTTAACATTCGTCAGGAGATCATGGAGAATGTTTCAGAATTGTACTCTGCTGGATAAAAGTTTGAAACCACTGATCAATTTTCTTTCTGCATTTGTAATTAAATCTTCCTTAATTCTGCAAAATTGTTGGCTAGCTCAGAATGCACAAGTGGTCTCTGAAACTTTTAGCCGGTAGTGTACTTACATATCTGATAGAAGTGATTACGAAGGGGTTGTGCGTTTCCTACATTGACAAATGGCGAGTGTAGTTCTCATTTAAAGTGTACGATCGATAACGCAGTTTCATCAGTTGGAGGACACCCGTAATCTCGTTAGAGCTTTAATTCTCGCAGACGTTCGACACGATAGATCTTTATTTCATTTCCTGTTCTCCAACACGAACACCTGGCTGTTGGTAGTTTTCGCGGCGTCCTGTCTTCGTTGCCTAATCCGCGCAGCCAGGGAAGGTACGAACAAGTCGGGATCCGGTTCACGAGCGTCCTTGTGAATTAGCCTGCTCGCTGCCAAGCTCGTCAGGAATCCCACCACCAGTGTGATCGTCAGTCCCATAGGAGTGTACCACATGTATGATATACGGTACAGGTAGAACAGGGGGGAGTCGTTCACGTTGCTGAAAATTCCAATTGAACGAAGTTAAACGACGAGTAAAAATGAAAGAAGGGTTAAAATCGAATCTAATTATCCTTCAGTTTCGTGTAGAAAAAATTCTAAATTCTCGTTTTTAGTAAAAAGGTTCCAAGGATTTTTTTAAAAGTTTGAATCATAGTAATTGTTAAATTCGAACTGAGAAATGAAAAATATTATTAACCATGTCCCAATTTTAGTAAGAATCATCGAATAATCATTGTAAAAAGAAACAGCCGAATGATAATTAAACGGTAATTTAACACGCACGACTATATTAGAAACAGATCGTTCAATAAACGTGAAGTGAGCACGGCAGGTACACGAAACGGCCAGTTCGGAGTGGCGTGTGTCAAGGAGAAAGCAATATTGCGCGTTGGAACGCGGCAGGGAGTTTAAAGAGGCCGTAATCGCGGTTTATTAACGCGCAATTAGCGTTAGTTACTATCGTGGGAAACGACGAAGAGCGAGCCGATCGAGAAAGCTGCCGGTGAAAAGAAATCGGGAAGCAATCGTTGTTTCTTAACTGATTACTGCAACTACCACCGGATCGTTCCACGCCCACTGTGAAACATTCGAACGCAGGATAACGCGTATCCTAGAACGATTCTCTCTTGATTTATATTCCAATTACTCTAACAATGTCGCCGGAACACTTTCTATCTGCCAACGAAATCTTTCCATTCCTATAAATCCGTCCTTAACTGCTTCGATTATTCCAAGGAAAATGATATCGGACCTCGAAAATGCTTCAGATTCGTTGGCCTTTCTTAACTAGAACGTTTCGCCAGCTTTTTTCTGCATTCGTAACGTCTGGACGACAAAATCAACTGGCGACACGTGTGTAGAATTACCTTATCGGAAGGGAAATCTCGTTTCTAGAAGCTAGGATTAGAAACATGAACGCCGAGAAGCATTCTGTGCTCGGCGATAACAGAAACTGGATGCAACGTCGTTTATTTCCGACTGAAAATATACAGAATATCGAAGAAAGGAGATACTCTGGAAAAGTGAAAAGGGAGGCTGAACCTTTCTTCGCGATCTTTTCTCAAGGAACGAACAACACGCCCCTTCATTATGCACACGCGGGGAAAGATGGCTGAATGACAGCGGTACGGGCTTTTATTCGAGGAAAAAGAGATCAGAGTCTCGGTGCACCTGTGATCAAAGGAGAACACAACGAGCTTGATAACAGAGGAAAATTAATAGCAACGTTTCTCTCATTTGCCTGGGAGAAAAATTACCGTTTCCGCCAATTAAACACCGCCTTTCCCCCTCCGGCGAAACTCGTAAAACCTTTTACAGTGCTCTTCTAAAGTTGCGCGGCGAATGTACGCACTTGGAAGTGGCCGCGTAACAAGCAAGCCGGGTTTCTTAACAAGCAACGAACTCACTTGTCGAATTTGCTGGCGTTTCGATAATCCAGGAACGTGGTAGAATTGTCGCAGCCTGCAACAGACACAGGAAGCGGCGGTATCTCTACCTTCAGATTGCCAAACGCTGCCCAGACGCAGGTGATCAGCGCGGAAATGGTTCCAACGACAGCTCCTGTCTCGTTCGCCTTCTCTACGAACATTCCTAAGGTGAAGATACCTAGAATAGGTCCTCCGATCGCTCCGGAAATAGAGAAGGCAACTTGTACCAACGATCCCATTGACTTAGCCATGAAAGCAACGGCCAAACAATTGAAACCGTTGACGATAGCGAGTACTTTTCCAATCAGAGTAGCCTTTTCCGTAGGAAATTCCACTCCAATTTTACGACACAACGGCTTCACGTAGTCCTCGAGTGCCACCGCAGCCAGAGAATTCAACATGGCAGAGATTGTGCTCAGACTGGCGCTGAATACGCCGGATATGAAGAGGCCGGTGACACCTGGTGCTCGCGACATCCTTTCTGCAACGAAATATGGCATTATCTTGTCGAAGCTGGAGATTCTCCCGGACGCCACTGGATCGCAGTCGCTGTAGACTGTGTAGAGGACTAGACCAGCGAAGCACGTGAGGATCCCGAGCAACATGGTCATTGGGCCGCTGAGCAGCAACGCGTGTTGAGATGTTTTGTAGTTTCTGGATGATCGAAGGATAGATTAAGAAAGTTGAAGGATTCATTGGTGAACGATTAAAGAGACACACTTGGCAGTGAGAAGACGTTGAACTTGAACCTGGTTCACCCCGTACAAAGAAAGAAAAGTGGCCGTGCCTCCTATTATTAGGTTCCACCAGGTGTGCCTTGCAGTCGGATCCAAGCTGAAGCTGCAAATCGAAGGATTCTTCTGAGAAATTCTCCCGTTCGACGGGACTGATTGAAAATCGTGCCTCTTACTTGAAGAAGTCTATACGACCACCCTTCTGAGCGGTGCTCCACACGTTCGACAAGCCGCCTTCGAGGTCAGCGGCTGCCACGCCGAGAACACAGGTGATCGCGACGAACATCAGCAGTCCCTGAAAGAGATCGGTGATCAGGACAGCCTTGATGCCACCTACGGTCGAGTAGAAGGTACAAATCAGCCCGATCACCAGGACGCTCGTGTTCCCTGACAGACCGGTCGTCGCTTCGAGGGCTAACGAAGGTGCGAACAACACCACTCCGGTGTACAGTAACAGTTGCACGAAGTTCGCCGTGCTGGCTACCAGACGAGCCCTCACACCGAACCGTTTTTCTAAGTACTGAAAAAGGAGGAAGAAAGGTAGAAGTATTGAGGGGATCGTCGAGTAATTGGATAGATCTATTGAACTTGAATTCGTTCAGTTGGTAATGCCTTAACCCTCGTACGACGAATGCAGGGTCATTTTGACTCAAGAGCGATAAAGTCAGGCGGCTCGGATTACGTTTGGTACAGGAAATACGCCTATTTTACGTATCAAATGTAAGTAAACGGGAAAAATATAAAATATGTAGTATCGGGGCCTCCATACCTAAATAGGAAACCGACAAGGGAGAATAGAGGGGGAGTAGTTGGCGTAGTGCGCAAAGCCTCGACTTTGCTAAGCCGAAGGTCCCGGGTTCGATTCTCATGTTAGGTCCTTCAGAATTTTTCCGTCGGTTCCTACAAATATATATAGTTGAAAGTATACGCAATTCCTTCTTGAAGTCCGTGTGCGATAGAAATTTTGCTACGGGTCAAAAAAGACCCGGCATTCGTCTAAAACCATTCGCCTTCCGTGGGTTGGGAAGTCATTGCAAACAAACGTTGGATGGTCGACGATGAGGAACGACCGATGGATCGAGCAATTACCTCGTACACGCTCATGGTGTTCAGCTTGGTGAAGACAGGAAGGTAGAAATGCAGGACAATCGGTGTGCCAAAGACACCGCTGAGGAATAGCAGCATGATATGCGTACCGTGGACGTAATTTTCCGCGCTCATTCCTAGCAACGTGATCGCCGACATGAAAGACACCGCGAGGGCGACCGCTAGGGGGAAGACGCCCATAGATCGGTTCGCTGAGAAGTATTCCTGTCGGTAATGATCGAGAAATATCGGTTAAACGTTGGCCTGTGTAAAGGATGTACAGTTGGAGGACCAAATAATTAACACGTTCGCTACTGTGTCGTGTTTGACGGAACGTGCAAAATGCGCTGGTTCGCGTGTCCGATTCTAACTCCAGTGCTAACTCTTTGCATTTCTCGATCTTCGAATAGGCAATTTTATCATTTTTATTTGAAATTTTAATTTTGCTCTGGAATTCTATTTTTCACATGAAATATTTATAGAATATCGTGATAGCTCTTTTTACAATATAGTTGGTTTAGAAATTTATTTCTATGAAAAAGTCTCTTCACAAAGCACATATATATAAAACTCTAATTTTCTCACTGATAATATTTCAAATATAATTCAATAAATACCGATCCAAACGAAACTTCGCGTCAATCCACTCTACACCAATAGAGAACGTGTTAAAGGAACATTAACAAACTCTATGCACGAATTAAACCGGCCATAAAAAGCACCGAGCAAACAGGTAGAAATCAGAGAAAAACCTCGTTATTCATTTCCAGACGCGTGAACAGACAGTTTTCACGTTGGGACACTCCCCTAATTCGATTGGTAACAAGAATTCAGTGTTAATTAACGTTCCCCACTCTCTTTGGTCAGTTGTCGAATAAGCCGATAAATGAAATAGCGCTCTGAATAGTTGGCAATTTGTGTCGATAGCAATATTTATCGCGGCGGCTAGATCGATCTAGCGATAACGGTGAAAGATCCGAGAGGGGGCCGGACTATGTCGTGATCTAAGAACGTGCCAGCTCTCTGTGAGCCTCTATACCCATGTTCGAACGCAGTTTATCATGGATATTGGATCGCGGGTGCAGGCTGGCTCTCGATGCTCGATTCGATCGTCCGTGTCGAAATTAATTTTCCAAGGGCTTAACCTCGGCCGTGCGTTGTCTGCCGCCGGTGAATCGGTAGTAGATCCCAATGCCTGCTGAGATCGACAGCATTACTCCGATGACAAGATAATCCGGCCATTGCAGCGACGACGTCCTATTACCCTTGCTCTGTTCCTGCCAACCAATCCACCAATTTTTTCATCCTTACTCCCCACTTTGCACCCTTGAATTATCGGTTCTAAAGGTCTAACTTCACCACCCCTCGTTTTACACGATTGCTAGCGAATTTTCCTATTTCTCTCCACTGCTATTAATCTGCTTCAAGTGCGTTCACCTCTCGAACGAAAATTCAAATTTCCGTATTCTTCTCCACGCGGTGACTCGACAATGCTATCAATCTGTCTTAAGTGCGTTTACCTCTCAAGCGAAAATTCTAATTTTCGTATTCTTCTTCGCTGCTATTAATCTGTTTTAAGAAAATTTAATCTCTCTACTTTGCAGTTACAAATGAACAAAAATAATAACCTCTTACGTATTTTATTTGACCGATATTAGTAATCTTTCGTTTGACTAAAAATTCATAATCTTTCAATAAATAAACTATCGTATTCCATTTATTTTACGAATCAACGACGACTTAACTGATCTTCCCCACTTGTAATCAACTCTCAATTGATACGATCAAAATCTACGAGTAGAATATGGATTTCAAGCTTTCGTAAATACTCGTTTAATCAAAGGCTATTAACCGAACGTTGTAATTTCACGTATCGATTAAAACGCAGAAAAACAGCGATACCTTGAGAAAAACTCGTAGTAACGTTTATCAGAGTTGGAAATGTGTTTTCCTCGAAAGGGAAGTTACGTTAGCAAGGAGAGAAAGACTGTCTATCTGAACGTTTCTATGGAAAGAGCACTCACGTCCATTCTGCAGGATCCTCTGCTCGTGTGATACCATCAACTGGCGATACACGAGAAATTCGATATCGCGAGCTTGTTTGCCCGGGTATCGTGCCTCTTCCTGAATCGTTTCTGCGGCGACCACCGTACAAACTATTACGTCGAGTATAACACACGTACACACGAACACAAACACCAGAAGCAAAGAGGATAGGTAGAGCTACGGTCCCAGAGGTAGATAGAGCACAGAGAAAAGACACGCGAATAGAGCACGAAACGAAGTCCTTTGGTGGACTCGTCACCTGCGTGTTTTGTGGCCGAGTGTGTTCGTTTCGACGAGGCGAAAAGCGAAGAAGAAGCGTTCTATTACGTAAAGCTTGGCTCAGCATCTTTCCTGTCAAAGACACGCGAAGCTTGGCCACCGGAAAAAAAAACGGTAGTAAATTCAAGGAGCAATTCAGCCAGTCGGAGCAAGGCCAAGGAAAAGACGAGAGAGAAAAGATGGGGTAAATGGAGGAAGAGAAAGATTCTCGATGGTTGAATAATCTTTAAGAACGTCTGAGTTGTGTGTCTTGGAATTAGTGGACACACGGTGAAAAATTAGGCTTATGATTTAACGATTACGTAAAATCGACAATGTTTCGTTTCACCCTTGCGAAAGAACCAGTTCGATCGAATCTATTAAGCGTCACGAATAATTAATCTCGGAAAGGTTAATGAATTCAAGATAAGGAGGAATTTTCGTCTGTAGGGCGAATTCTTGTCACGATCCACGGCCGTTTTCGAATTCTCTTGAATTGGAAAGCAGGAGAGATAGCGGTTGTAAAAGGTCGTACTTCTACTTTATTCCTCTCTCTTGGAGACCTTCTAATTGGAATAGAATAAACCAGTACTTTTTTTCCTTTCGACGTGACGTTTCTTCGCGAGCGACGAAGATCAAGGGAGGGAGAAAAGGGAGTACTCGACGTCGAGTGGAATTGGCTTCGAATGCTACGCCATTGTTGCGTCGCCGGTGCATAACAATTATTCGCGAGACGGTAGCTCCTGAACGTAATGTAATTTCCTAGTATTATGAGGCACAATCGAGGGGCCATCGGCTATTATTCCAAGAAGGGAAGCGCCCGTAGAAACGTACGAGCAGCGAGAATTCCACGAGATCCACGCCGGGGATTCCGTCGATCCTGATCGACGATACGTAAAAGGTTATCGAGATACGACGAAAGGATCGCGATTAAATTATACAGATTTTTCTGGAGAAAAGGAAAAAATGGGAGAAGTATCGTCGATCTAATCTACAATTTAACAGAGTCTCGTACAGTTTCAATAAAATCTCGTTACACTGTAACACACCCTCGTTCAAATTCAATGAAGTCTTGTTTAAATTGAACAAGATCTTGTTTCACGTCCATCAAGTAATCTACTGTTAACTATGATTTAACCTAGTTGCGCATACACGTGAACTGCAGCCATATATTTCTCGTTTCTCTTGTAAATTTATGCAAAATATCGAGTATCGTGGTACAAGGAGGACGTCGGGATCCGTCGATCTTTATCGGGTATGATTTATACCGAGGTTATCGAGATAATCGATTTATAAGGATGTTTTAAAGGGCAATATCGTGTTTCTTCGGGGAAGAAAATCTCGCGGCTGCTTTAACGCCGTGTAGATTGACCAAACGCGACACACGCGATTTTATTCGTTTGGACGTAATGGCACGATGTGTCCAGTACTCTGAGGGGGTTAATAGAGATCCGGAGTTGAGCGTCGTCCAATTTTCGACATTGTTACTTGACCGTTGGCTGGCTCGTTTTACGCCGATGTCGGCCGCCAAAGAAGGAGCGGAGGAGAAAGACGACGTACGACGAAAGAGGAGAAAAGGAGGAGCCCGGTAAGTGGCGAATTCCCGTCATTAAGTCGTTAGTCGGACGCAGGACGACAGCAGGCTAACCGTCGGTTAACTGGCTGCTGAACTTGATCGGCCAATCGTTGACCCGCATGAAAGATCGAGACTCGCCATGTGTTGTCGCTTTCACCCCATCCTTGATTTTTCGCTCAACTTCGAAGTTGATTCTTTCGGCCACGTGAAACGGGACACTTCGGTATTCTCTGGTGTCGATTGAAATTTTTTTAGAATCGTTGGGAATTCTATTGTGAAGAAGGGAAACTGGTAATTTTCCTAAGATGAAATTTATTTAAAATAGGGTGAATTAGGTAAAAATAGAGGAGAATGTGTTAGCACATATTTTGAGATATCGTTTATTAACGATAAGATTAGTCGAAATATCTGAGACCCTTCAAACAAAATTCCCCCTTTCGTCGTCACTATTGAAAAAATTTGTGCGTTCAACGTGTTAGAGGATAGCCGGGCATGGTCAACTCACCCTAGCGAGTGGTAACCGTTTCCAAATATTGAGTCTAGAGAGGAGAAATCGTGGAGGAAAGTTATTTCCCGGGTGTCTCCCGAAGGATCTCAGTTTGTTTGATTTCATTTTCACCGCCTGGTTGGCAACAGGAAGTGAACAGCGTTTTTTCCCGCCAGGTCGAAAATAAATCTCGTAACCGTGAATTCCTGGATTCTGCTGCTCCGAACCCTCTGCCTGCACAAGCCGTGCAACGTTCTCCAGATTCTCCTGTTTAGATAATCACGATGTCGTGTTTTCACTCCGCGGTTTCCCCTCCCTTTTAGTTAGTTAGACGAAGGAAGGTGAGACACACTCCTAGATTGAAGATCAGACGTGCTCTCATCTAAAGCACGTGGCTCCTCGCCGTCCTAAGGAGAACCTCGTTATTATAGTTGGATACTCAAAGTAAGACGTCTTCAAGGAGCTTCTTTAAAACCCGCTTACACACCAGCACGCACATTTTTCGGCCTTTTCGCCAACCTTAATTACGCACACTCCAGGAAGTTGCGTGCGCTATGCGAAGAATGCGCCAGCGTTCGTCTGTTCCGTCCTGTACAGTGGAACAATTACGGCTCTGCAGGCTTACGTGAATGAGAGAACTCGTGGAAGCTTCCAAGTGTATAAATAGAAAGTGTATTGCGAATTTAATTGCATGTAAAACAGCGAAAAAGGAAAAGTACGAAATTTACGACTTGAAGAGTCTCGAGGAAAACTACCCTTTTTCTATCGAATAAAAAAGGGGACTGTTTGTGTACCAGACAGGATGAATTATACAACGGAAAGATACTTGCTAACGAGAAATTAGCATCGTACAACTGAATTCTCCTGGAATACTAACTTTCGTCGGAATTTTCTCAGAAAAAACCGCGAGCCGGCGAAAAATGAACGTCGGTGCATATTTCGCTTTAAAGCACAAGTGTTTGGTGCGGTTCTATTATGCGCGTTTTAGCGTCGAAACGGCGGAGAGTGGCGGGGGGGCTAACAGCTGCTCCACTTCTAACGCGACACTTTTACAATGCCTCGAATAATATATTTTTGCCCACAGCACGATAATACCCAAGGCCGAGTGTTTCGAACCCGGCTTCGAGTACTTACGTAGTCGTGCCACCGTATAACACGTGGAATAATACCCGCTGGGCTTAGATGGAAATTTGCGTAAAACGACTTCGCGCGGCTAAATACAGCCGTAGGTTTGTCGAATAGCGGGCGACACGCGCGCGCGCGTATTGTATCGAGCAGGTTAGGTGAGTGACGATCTGATAATGAGCGTGCTCTCGCCTGTGCGCAAGCTTCGGCTCGTCGAGTCCCTGTAATTAATTAACGAGTAGAGAGAAGGCTTTCTCTGTTTTCAGGGTTACGGTGTTTTAGTCAGCCGTTGATTTCGCCAGCACGGCCGATTTTCGTGGCCTTAATTAATTCGACGCGTCCAATTTGCCCGTGGCGGTGCTTCTATCGTCGTCGATTGACGCTCGACGCCTATTAAACTTATGACGATTCCGTTCGCTGTTATGACTCCCAGCAATTATCGCTAATTAAGTATTCGAACGTCGATCCGACCATGCGAGGCGAATTTCTATTAGCCACCGTTTTCGTACTCTTGAACACGCCTGCATACATCTGGCTTATCGTTGCCCTTACATGTTCGGTGTAATTGGCTTTAATCCTGTAATTATATCGAGATATCTAGACGTACGAGGAAATAGGACGTATATTTTTCTTCTTTTTTTTCGCGTATTTGCGTAACAGAGAGGATACGATTATGGGTCAAGTGTATGACGGTCCATAATCGATCTATCAGTTTATGAATTTTTAAATCGACGAGAAATGCTGGCCACTCGAAAGATCTGATTTGTGAATAAAAATAACAGCGGATGGAGAAGTTGGTGACGCTACGGAGGGAATATTAATCTTCTCCGAATATGTATCGTTAATTTATATGTATATTAATCCGTGGGATCATTCTGGTGTCGTTATATCGAGATTGTTCTTCTCGAAAAGTTCCTCTCGTTTCGTCTGTATGCTGATGTCGATTAAAATGTGCTTCTTCTAAATGTTCTCTAAAGGTTTGCCCCATCGTACATGAAATGTATGTTAAAAATAAGAAAAGGCGGCAAAATAAAACGTGGCGATAGATTTTCTTCTTTATTTTTTCGGTACCGGTTGCAAACAGTCGACAAGGTGACGCGATTTGCGGCCATTTTCCTCGGCGCAGATCCTCCGGATAAAATTCACAATGGCAACTACAGCAGTCACCGGGCATGAGAAACAGCGTTGCGTAATTCGATCATTTGCATCGATGATACATCGTCGTGAATGGTTTCGCGATGCGAATACGCGTTATCATGAATCGAGAGGCATCGGGAATAATTATGCGTCTCGGTTCCCGCCGATCGTTCAGCCAGATAGCGGCGCGGGGACAAACGAGATACAGATTCTGCACGCGTCCGTTCGAATTGGTGCGTGAGCGCACGCCCACGACAACAGAATTTTCATGACGTTAATCCCAGTAGAAATTATCGAAAGTACGGTACTGTGTTTCGTTGATTCGAGAGAGGATATCGGTAGGCAGCTTTCATACCGCCGCGGACCGTTAAATGAGCGTGCGGATAATGAAATGCGCGATGGGTCATCAGATTTAACGACACCTTTAATATTAACGCTCGCTATCTACCTGTTTATAACGCACGTACG